GGAAACCCACTGTGAGAAAGACAGGGACTAAATGAGAATATCTACTTTACAAGAAACATCCATCATTAATATGAAATGCAAGGTCATTTAGTTTTTGAGAGAGGATGGGTCAATTCAACTTCCCATACATATACAGAAAAGTAGTTTAGTGTGCAAAAACATTAGCCAATGCCTGTGGAATTAGCAGTCTTCTCTGCTATGAGAAAGAAATAGGCTCATGAAAAGACATCTTTAAGTGAAAAATCTCCAATTTATACATGGGCAACTTAACCCTGCACCCTACATGTGGCATAGTTTCATTTGTGGCCAGCAGCCATAAAGTACACAAGACAATTCTTCATGAATGTTGATGATGTCTTTGGAAAATAATAGTTTTTTTCCCCTTACAGTTTTAAGAACCTTGAGAATTACAAGGTCAGTCAATGCAACAATTTAGCTCATTATATTAAAGTGATAGTAAATCCTCAAAAAAAATTATTGGCCCCCTTGCAAGGTAATGGCATACTATGCTACTTTGCATCACATACTTACACATTATGAAAGACTTACCTTACAACGGAGCACTCCAGCAGCACCCTGTCACCACTCACCGGGCGTTCACCTTCACCCAGTATTCCTCCGAGGTTTGCAGGCTACGGCCATTTGAATGGCTGAGATGCGATGATGATACTCTCACGTATGCGCACCAGAACCACAATCGCTGCAAAAAGCTCTGAAGGGACAGCATACTTAGTATATCTCCTTTTCAGAGCACAGTACACATGCGCTGGTGACGTCATGGCTGGAAAACATGTGAACATCTCCTAAACAGGCACGTTTAGGAGATGTTCATTTTGACTACAGATAAGCTTTATTATAAGCGGTTTAATGTTCAATGCATGTTCTACACTAATGTTTATATAATCCTTTTGAACTTTAAAGTACACTCCAGATACAAGATTTCTCTTGTATCTGAAGTTATACTATCATGTCAGGTTATAGAATCTTTCTTGACCCAGTGGTCAGATTACCTAATAAATCGCCAGCCTGGGACTTGACCTGACTCTTTGTTCTGCTCTCTGACTCTCTGTTCTGCCCCTCCAGCCCTTACCAAAGCGCTGGGCTGTGGAGAGGGTAGGAGGGACTACTCAATCTCTCAACAGTTGCCAGTCAGGAATCTCGGTGGATCCCAACTTTAAACTTAGTATCTCCCCAGAACCTGGCCCAACACAGTGACATCAGTTGACAGTGGACTTTAGCCCACTGTTGGCCGAATCTGAGTCACAGGAGTGCAGAAGTAGGGCACAAGAGAAGTAGGGACCAAATGAGCTTTGGCTATACTTCTTTATGTTATTAAAAATGTCCCTCCCATTTGGTGAGCTGTCATTTTCTGTAAAATTCAATGCAATATGACAGCCTGGAGGAGTTCTGTACAAATTTGGTACACAGAACCCCCCCCCCAGAAATGTCATTTCCTGATTGTGTGATTGGCTTGTTGATTTTTCAGAAGTCTGCACCAAGATGCAAGTCAAAGTTTAGGCACCCCCAATAGTACAAATTTAACTTTTGATGAGATACTCCCCAAAGGTTAAACACTTATAACGGGATGCAGACATTGCAGCTTTTCTTATCAGAAAGTGCTCCAGCTGATTATAAGGAACCAGCCACTCCCATTCATAATCAGTATGCAATGAGTCTGGTGGAACAAACAGCTTTTCCTCACAGCAACAAAAGGTAGGAATCTGCAACAAAGTTTGTAGAAATCCTTGTAATATACATTGATCACTGTATTTTCTCAAAAAAGTGGAGTTACTCAAAAGGCTTTGAATTGCCCCCATTCTGATAGCTTTAAGCACAGAATCTACTTTTGCATAATGCCTTTATTATGCTAATGGTGGTCCTAAGGTGATGATGAATAGATGTAGTACTCTGTATCTGTGCAAAGAGTAAAAACCAGCTAGAAAACATCAGAGAGCTGTTGAATCCCATCACTGCTAAGAGATACTGTGTACATGTGGTAGTGAGCCTAAAACCTGTGATGTATTCTCTAGGGCTCTTGGCCTATTGAGATGACATGATATGATGGATGGAGGCAAGTTCAAGTGATAACGCATTATTTATTGCTTTACAATAGTTTTTTCAGGGATCCAGATATGGGTCAGTCCTTGCTTTGTTGGCTACCTGTTTTACCAATGCCAAGCTTTGACATGGTACTTCAGATTAGTAAATGAAAGATAATTTTTAACCTCAAGACCAGAAGATTGAACACTGCCAGGTACTTTTCTTTTGCTGTGGGAAAAATATGTTATGGAATACAGGTTTTAATTAACATAATTGCTAACTTTTAACACAGATGTCATGGATTAATCTTTGTAGAGAAAGATAATTTATTACTGGATAAAAATGTCCTTTTTCCCGTGGGAAGTAAGATTTCATTTCTGAATGCCAGCAGTGCTTGTGATAACCTCTCATGAGTTGTCTGTATTACCTTATTCTCTCAGGTCACATGGTAACAGCTGTGCAGACATCAAAGCTCTGCTAGTGGAACTGATCAGCAGGAGGATCAAGCTCTTGAGCCCAATTACCCAGGAAGTTATTAATTAAAGTAGAATAACATAGCAGCATCCATGGTGTTGTCTGTGGGAGGATGTTGAGATTTTAGTGTTGTTGGCTTTATTAATTGAGGCATTAGGGTTTTTGATGTCAGTACAGGTTTCTAGGCAGATGTACCCATATGACAAAATGGCAGATGCCGTAGTCTCGCTGATATGTACAGTACCTGTACACTTTGTAACTAGAAGTTTAGATATGATCTGATTTGCTAGTTCACTAATAATAATAATAATAATGATAATAATAACAAATATAGTCTAACTAACTGCCAACTTGCCAAGTGAAACTTATGAAGGTAGTGGAGTGTAGTTTGCCCTAAGGTAACCCTGTTGCATTTTGAAGCACCCATTAAAATAGTTAACATTCTTGCTGGCGGTGTGTGCAGACAAGGAGGGCTTCTACCTTCATATTTGGTGGGATAGTGGTCTAATTGTTCCAGGCAGGCTATATTCACTACATATAACAAAATGTAATTGGCTCTCCTTTACATGATCACTTGCTCCATCTCAAAGATCAAAAAAAGTATCTTGAGACATTTGGGTTGATTTACTAAAATTGTAGAGTGCAAAATCTGGTGCAGCTTTGCATGATAGCCAATCAGCTTCTAACTTCAGCTGGTTCAATTAAGCTTTGACAAAAAACCTGGAAGCTGATTGCTTTCTATGCAGAGCTGCACCAGATTTTGCACTCTCCAGTTTTAGTAAATTAACCCCAAGGTCTCATGTCTGCATGTGTAGCCATATTTTGGCATTGGAAAACAACTTCACCATATACACCATATTGCCAAAAGTATTGGGACGCCTGCCTTTACATGCACATGAACTTTAATGGCATCCCAGTCTTAGTCTGTAGGATTCAAAATTGAGTTGGCCCTCCTTTTGCAGCTATAACAGCTTTAACTCTTCTGGGAAGGCTGTCCACAAGGTTTAGGAGTATGCCTATGGGAATGGTTGACCATTCTTCCAGAAGTGCATTTGTGAGGTCAGGCACTGAGGTCGCATGAGGAGGCCTGGCCGACAGTCTCTGCTCTAATTCATCCTAAAGGTGTCCTATCAGGTTGAGGTTCAGGACTCTGTGCAGGCCAGTCAAGTTCCTCCTCTCTGAACTCGCTCATACATGTCTTTATGGACCTTGCTTTGTGCATTGGTGTGCAGTCATGTTGGAACAGGAAGGGGCCATCGCCAAACTGTTCCCACAAAGTTGTCCAAAATGTCTTGATATACTGACGCCTTAAGAGTTCACTTCACTAGAATTAAGGGGCCAAGCCCAACCCCTGAAAAACAACCCCACACCATAATCCCCCCTCCACCAAACTTTACACTTGGCACAATATAGTCAGGCAGACAGAGAAGCATGATTCGTTACTCCAGAGCACACGGCTCCACTGCTGTAGAGTTCAGTGGCGGCGTGCTTTACACCACTGCATCTGAAGCTTTGCATTGCAGTTGGTGATGTAAGGCTTGGATGCAGCTGCTTGGCTATGGAAACCCATTCCATGAAACTCTCTACGCACTGTTGTTGTGCTAATCTTAAGGCCACATGAAGTTTGGAGGACTTTAGCTATTGACTCTGCAGACAGTTGGTGACTTCTGCGCACTGTGTGCTTCAGCATGCGCTGACCCCGCTCTGTTATTTTACATGTCCTACCACTTTGTGGCTGAGTTTGCTGCTGCTCCCAGTTGCTTCCACTTTGTTATATTACCACTAACAGCTGACTGTGGAATATTTAGGTGCAAGAAAATTTCACAAATGGAATTATTGCACAGGTGGCAACCTTATCACGGTGTCACGCTTGAATTCACTGAGCTCCTGAGAGCAACCCATTCTTTCACAAATGTTTGTAGAAGCAGTCTGCATGCCTAGGTGCTTGATTTCATACACCTGTGGCCATGGAGGTGATTGGAACACCTGAATCTAGTGATTTGGAGGGGGTGTTCCAATACGTTTGGCAATATAGTGTATTTTAGAATAGGCACAACTTGTTTATGACATCATTGCAAAGGAGACATTAGCGGCTGAAGACATTGTTCACCCTGAAAAGAGCTGTTTACTCTGGACATGTTGACAAGCTCACAGGGATTCAGATGATTTTATACCCTTACACTACAGTGAGTTCAATATCATCACTATATTATTTCAACCCCATGGCTACAGAGTAACATTTTTAACCACAAGTCTACAGGGCCTTCCTGCCCGGGCCAATTTGCAGCTTTCAGCGCTGTTGCACTTTGAATAACAATTGCACTGTCATGCAACACTGTACCCATATGACATTTTTATAATTTTTTTGTGACAGATAGAGCTTTATTTTGGTGGTATTTAATCAACTCTGGGTTTTTTTTATTTTTTCTTAAACAAACCAAAAACCACTGAAAATTTTGAAAAAAAAAAGTTTTTCTTAGTTTTTGTTATAAAATTTTGCAAATAAGTGATTTTTCTCCTTCACTGATGTGCGCTAATGAGGCTGCAGTGATGGGCACTGATAGGCTGCACTGATGGACACTGAAAGGTGGCACTGATGGGCACTGATGAGGAGGCACTGGTAGGTGGCACTGATGGGCATTGACAGGCATCACTGATGGGCACTGAAAGGCAGCACTGAAAGGCAACACTGATATATGGCACTGATAGGCGGCACTGACTGGCACTGATAGGCGGCACTGACTGGCACTGACAGGCGGCACTGATTGGCAGCACTGATAGGTGGCACTGATTGGCATTGATAGATGGCACTGACTAGCACTGATGGGTGACACTGAAAGGCAGCTCAGATGGGCACTGATATGTGGCATTGACGTGGCACTGATGGGCACTGGCACGTGGCACTGATGGACACTGACAGGTGGCACTGCTGGGGCTACACTGATCATCAGGGCACACTGATCATCAGTGCTCTGATGATCAGTGTACATGTCCTCTCTGTGGAAATCCCGATTACCAGCTCTCTCCTCTCGAGCTGTCAGCGTGACAGCTCGAGAGGAGAGAAATGCCGATAACCAGCATTTCCCTATTTCCATGAGATCAGCTGTGATTGGACACAGCTGATTGCATGACAGAGCCGACATCTTCCGAGGGACACAGCGCATCGCCGCGCTCCGGGAGCCGCGCATGCGTGGTTAAAATGGGAGGACGTCATATGACGTCCTCCCAGAACGAGAGAACTACCTTGCGTCCGTCATATTACTATATAGCGGGCGGGAGGTGGTTAATACAATTCTTTCTCTTTGTGAATGTTTTTGGAAAATTCTTTTTCTCATATTCATATGGGAACTTTCTATGTTCTCACTCTCTGTCCCTTTCTCCTATAGGATTTGGTAACATTTCCCTTTCTCTTATGTGATTGTATTTTCTGGTCTAAACATTTGACATGTTCAATTGTTAAACAATACGTTTGCTGATCTTATTTTATTTTGTACTTGAAAAAAAGGAATAAAAGACATTTGAATAAAAACAGTTAACATTTATCATGTCATGGATGAGACTCTTATGTTAATATTGCAACTAATAGGTCCTTTAAAAGGACCTAGATTTTATGACATACTGCATGATATGTGATTTTCAAAAAGGATACATGCTTTTGGAGCATTGCTTGCTTCTGGCCTAAGAGATCATGTGGCAGATGACTTACTAGTTAGGAACTCCCACTTTTGATAATATTGTCCATTAAAATGGTTGTAAACCTAAAAAACACAAATATAATCCTACAGTTAAATAGATTTTGCCTTTACTAAGTATTTGAGCTTAGTTTGGTATCTTGAAGCAATCCCCTTCTCCAGAAATCCCCCATGTTCTTCTGAACAGAATAAATCCGACACAAGCAGAAAAAAGGTGTCGCCACTCCTCTTCTCCTGTGAGTGACGGGCTGTGCTGGAGACAAGATCGCCATGAGCATCCATGTGATACGCTGTAAAGGGGTGGGGGAGTGGGTGTTCTCTCCCTGCTGGTCTCCGCCTTCACAAGATCGAGAACTCAGCACCAGTGATTTATGACATAGATTGGCATTACTTCAGTAATGCTGTACTTGTCTAGGTAAGTCTGCTGACAGCTGATTATTGTCCTGTTCCATTCATAGCACCTAGCTTGTGAATTGATGTTTACAGAGATTTACATGAGAATGTTTCCTGGTCCACATTGCCACTTTAGGCTGCAGGATTCCAAGGATTTTTATCATTAACTCCTTCCTAGCAGTTTTCTGCTGATTAGCACAGATCCTGTACTGTAAGCAGAGCTGACATTGTCACTGGCACCTGTGTATTCCCCTGAATGTACTCAGGAGACAGGCTCAAAGACATAGGGATGTCAGATAGCCGTGTACATCCTTGTGCCGAGGAGGATGGAGGGTGTGTATAACTGAGGGATTGTGTGACATCACATCTCCGCCTACTATTCTCTGGTCCTAAGCCACACCCACAGACCAGTAATTTGTGGAGGGCTGAGACAAGCTAAAGGAGCATTTCTCTGAGGTACACTCACAGCTCTATGTATGTTTACATTAAAATGTATTCACTTATGTCAAAAAGTAAATATTTTATATTTGCACTTATAACCACTTTAAAGTGGTTGTAAAGGGTGAAGGTTTTATACCTTCATGCATAGAAGGTAAAAGGTAAAAAAACCTTTAGTGTGCAGCCCCCCCCCCCATATTTAACTGAGCCCAATCATCCTCCAGCACTGTGCACGAGAGCCTCGTCTCTCCCATGTCTCTCTCCTCATTGGCTGAGATACAAGAGTGGGAGCCAATGGCTGTCAATCACAGCCAGTGAGGAGGAAGCGGGACTGCAAACCAACTATGGCCTTAAAGAATTTATTGCAATACTTGACAAGTGTGATATTAATCTGTGTAAACACCAGCAGGGGACATCATGTAGCTTTTATTTTTGCTGTATTTGAAAAGATAATCAGAAACAATGAGTTGCATGGCATAAAGCTCATTTCATTTTCATGGTTTATTGTAAGTGCAGTTATTTCACAAACAGATGACATAAGTTGTGAATAAATCACTAAAAGAAAACAAATGTTTACGTGTGTGTAGGGTGGGTTTAGAATCTTGAAATTTTTGCCTTTTGTACTAAACACAGTATAAACGGTGTATAGAAACATTTGAAAACCAGCTTGTAGTAGCTCTTGGCAAAATTGGCAAATTGATAAAAAACAGATTTGGCGTCAGGAAATCGATGACATTCTGATAATTGATATGGTTGATGCATGTAAATATAGTGTGGACTATACAGTGCCTTGAAAAAGTATTCATATCCCTTGAAATTTTCCACATTTTTGTCGTTACAACCAAAAACATAAATGTATTTTATTGGGATTTTATGTGATAGATCAACATAGGCACTGTAGCAGTATTAGAGTATTGTACCATGTTAGCTATAGATTCATGTAGAAAGTTTGGAGTTTAAAGTAATTGTAAAGTCTAGCCTTTTAAAAATTATTTTTCTTAAAAAAACAAACATTATACTTACCTGCTCTGTGTAATGGTTTTCCTCTTATGAGGTCCCACACCAGCGCTCCTCGCTGTTCCTCTTTTCGGTGTGCATGTTTATTCCTGAGCTGTATGCGTCTATGGAGCCGCGTTCCATAGATACACAGCGTGGCTTCGCCTTGCAGCTTGGTTCCTCCTCACAGCATTTGATTGACAGCAGCAGGAGCCAATGGCTCTAGGTGAGTCCCTGTGAGAACAGGAATAGAGGGGAGAGAATTCTGCACCCAGGCACAGCACTGAATCCCTGACAGACTCAGATAAGTGTTTAGAGGGTGGGGATATAGTTAAGAGGGTGTTTTTTTTACCTTAATGCAGGAAACTTAAGATGTGGGCAGACATGTACTGAGAGCCTACCAGAGCCTGGCATTGCAACCGCGATCAAAGAGAACTTATCCTTTAAGTCTACTTTCACCCCATTCTAAGCCCTGTACTAACTACCCCAGGGGTGGGCAAACTTTTTGACTTGAGGGCCGCAATGGGTTCATATATTGGACCCGGGGGCTGGACCAAGAGTAGATGAATGATGTGTATGTGTCATCCATAGTAAGTATAGTAATATTCCCCCATAGTAAGCATATAGTAATTCATCCCCCATAGTAATTCATCCCCCATATAGTAATTCATCCCCCATAGTAATTCATCCCCCATAGTAATTCATCCCCCATATAGTAATTCATCCCCCATATAGTAATTCACCCCCATAGTAATTAATCCCCCATATAGTAATTAATCCCCCATATAGTAATTCATCCCCCATAGTAATTCATCCCCCATATAGTAATTCATCCCCCATAGTAATTCATCCCCCATATAGTAATTCATCCCCCATATAGTAATTCATCCCCCCTATTGTAATTCATCCCCCCTATAGTAATTCATTCCCCATATTAATTCATCCCCCATATTAAGTCCCCAAGTCCCCCTGTGTCAATTCACTTACCTTTGCTCCGCGCATTCCTCTCGCCGTGTTCCCGTGCCGTTCTGGTGTAGCACGAAAATCTGTCTCCTATGAGGATCTGTCCCCCTCGACGTATCTGCGCATGTGCCAGTTTCAGGCATTAGCAGCCGATCGGCGATCTCCGGCACATGCGCAGATACGTCGAGGGGGACAGATCCTCATAGGAGACAGATTTTCATGCTACACCGGTCTTCAGGGCGGACTGTGAGAGGAGCCTAGTGGGAGCCTAGCTCCGCGGGCCGGATTAAAAGGTCCGCCGGGCCGTATTCGGCCTGCGGGCCGTAGTTTGCCCATTGCTGAACTACCCTGTAAAGCAGGGGTCTCCAATCTATGACCCTCCAGGTGTTGAGGAACTGCAAGTCCCATGAGGCTTTGCAAGACTCTGACAGCCACAAGCAAGACTCCCAGAGGCAGAGGAATGGTGGCACTAGTAGTATTTCAACAGCCGGAGGGCCATAGTTTGGAGACCCCTGCTGTAAAGGAAAGATGTCTATACCTACCTAATCTAAGGTTGCTACAGTCCCATCATGTGATCTCCCCAGTGGCTGGCTTCAGCGGAGAGTAGAGAATAGTGATAACAGCTGCTGTGCCTGACAGTGACATCACCCATAGACATACTTGTCAGCTACCCCTTCTCTACATTAAAACTGGCATTGGGAGCCAATCATGTTACCAGCTCTTAGCACCTTTAGATTAGTTAAGTATACACATCTTTTCTTCAAAAAGTAGTTAGTATAGAGCTTAGAATAGAGATAAGGTTAGACTTAAAGGAGAAGTACAGCCAAAGCTCATTTGGCTATACTTCTCATGTGGATCACAGGAGTGCAGTACTTCCTGCACTCCTGTGACCCATTTTCAGCCAACAGCAGGCTAAGGTCCATTGTCGACTGATGTCACTCAGCTGGTCTAGGCTGAGGAAAGATACTGACTTTAAAGTTGGAATCCACTCAGGAACTTGGACTGGCACCTGGCTCAGCCTCTCAGTCATCCACTGAGAGGCTAAGTCAAGCTCTTCAGTGAGTGCTGGGGGGGAGGCAGAGTAGACAGTGGTGACTGACAGTCACCGCCATCTGCTCAGAGCAGTAGGGAGAACTGAACAATCAGCGGTGTCCAATTGCTCAGTTCTTACCCTTAGAGGTAGTGAGGGACAGATGCAGCATCAGATCTGATAAATATTAAATAAAGTTAATTATATAAAAACATTAGTTAACAAAACTTGGTGGCCATGCTTCCACAGCTCCAAGCATAGGACACTAACTGATGTTTTCAGTATTTTTATATAATTAACTTTTATAGCTCATAA